CTCACCTCTCAAGCTTCTGTTCACAATAGTCCTGCTCCCTACTTCTCACCCCCACGCAACACACACACACACACACACACACACACTAAGACCATTAACAAGAAACATGTAAATCAGCTCCACTCCAAATATGTTGACTTGAGTCGAAGTCTGGCATCTTCACCGCCTGCTGTTGAGACACAGCCTAGATATCCTGTCTCCAGTTGTCTGGTGCCTGCTACCAGACAGATCCCCTTGAACTTTGGATCTATCCACCTGCTAAGGGAGTCGGGTAGTGACTCAGCGGCTGGCCGGCACTGACTTCTGCTCTAGTCAGATCCTGCAGGAATTCGGCTGCACTCTCAGCTGGGATTTTTGAACAGGCTTTTTAACTAAGGAGCAAAGGTTAAGGGAATCAACAAGGAATGGTGGGGTACCCAGGGACTCGCAGTAGCGAGAAGCTGTTAACACCCCTAGGCCTAAAAGGGACTGGAGACTGATTAAGAACTAATGCCAGTGAAGGGTGTGGGAATTTGGGGGGAGGTCTTGATAGGATCTGTAGTCACAAAAACATGCAGACCTGACTGGAAGCACTGAGACCTCTCAAACTTCTGATTCTCCCCACCCCTATTCTTACCCAGGGTCCAGAAAACTGTTCTCATAGTTCCCTCATTTGATTGCAGGAGTTCAACCTAAATGTGAGATTTTTTTCTCACATCAGATGGTTAGTAGCTCTCGTCCAAGCCTGGTTTCTCCAGGCACAGATACCTAAAGTCTCCTTCACTCCCCAGAGAATTAAAAAGCAACTGTTTCTGTCTCAGGCACATCCTAAACCACATCTTCTAATGCCTTCTGAGGACTGTTAAGCAAGGTTTATATGTTCTCTTATTAGATTTGAATGCATTTCCATCATTCCATATGCCTAACCCGTGTCCTCATGGTACGGTGGAAGGAGTATAAGTTCTGAAGGCAGACAGAACTAGAATCAAATTTAGACTCTCACTATGTCTGTGTTCTTGGGCAAGCTGTTTAATATCTGTCTATTTTCTTATAAAATGATTCCAACCTAGCAGAGTCAGGAAGATTAAGGTAAGGCATTTATTCCTGTGCCTGAAAAATGAAAGGATCTCAATAAATGCTCCCTTACATTCCCTGACTATGTCTTTGTAACTAATCCCCACCCTCCCTCAACTCTTAGCACTCAGAACTAACCTTTGACTCAATATGTTTTCTTTTGAATTGATTTTTCTTCCTGTCCTGTCCTGTTTTCCTGATCACTGACACTTGCTAACACCTCCCATATTACCTGAACTACTTAAATTCTTATTTGCAACCTGTTCCTCTTCCTGTTTCTGTTAACTGCAAATTTCTTAATCTCCAGACAGCTGACCTAAAATGCAGATGAGAGTCCCAACACCTACCTGAAAACTTTTTTCATCCTGCCAGTTTGACTCACACTAAGGATTCAGAATAAGTTAGAAAGAGGTGTTTCTCCCTGGAGGTACAACCAGCTTTAGATTAAACAATTCTGATGAAAGTCAGGCATTTGTGAATGAGAAACCAAACTCTACGTACATTTGTTTTTGTAATTCCTTCAGAATTTATTTACATAAGGGTAGCTTTTTAAATGTACTATTATTTCAAAAATAATTTCTTTACTATTTGGTTGTTTGAAGAGTCCAATTTAAATAACATTAAAAAATTAAAACATACTTATATTTGCTGACCAATATAATATCTTCAATGTTGCTCTTTGTAATAGTACTTGATCTTCTTCTTAAATCCTTTTAAGAAGCAAATTAATGGTTATCATATAAACCAAAAAACAATGTAACATCATCCGAGTGTTATCACCAATATGCCAAATTATCTCATTCCCTTCAAATAGGTCTGTGACTCTTGAATATGCAGCAGTTTGTTCCTGTGTGTTGTCAGATGACAAGCAGTACTACTTCAAACATCAGCAACTGGGCCAGCCGCTCAGGCTAATCAAGTAGAAAACAATTGCGAAATGGTTGGTTTGTGGTGCTTCACTGTGCTATTTTCAAGGCACTGTGAAAGAGGGCATGAGTCCCTACAAATTCTCCCCTGTAATATGGCACATGAAATGCTTCTGTCTTGGTTTATGAAGGCCATTCCACTCTGCTAACAAAACCAATCTTGGGACTTGCCTTACTTTACACCTTTGCAGGAATGAAGTGGATATCCCACATCATTCAGGTTCTAAATACATCTTAACATGCAATATCCAAATAAGTTAGGTTTGTTTTTCAACCTTTTCCCTGCCTCAGCACTGCTAAGGAACATAGTGTACTCACTTTAATACCAGTGGTAGTGCATACACGTGCTTTCAAAAACTCCCTCTGATGAATCTGATAGATCATGCCAGCCCTCCTCCATCCCCTAACTGAGATCACAAACTTATGCAAAGGTTTTCATGTATTTTGTGAAGAGCAATTCTACACCCTAGAAATGACCATAAAGTAGAAAGTACAACTCACCTTGTATATAGGTCACAGCCATCCAGACAAAATAAATGTAGATTATACGAACTATCAGCCAGTTTACTCTTCTGTCTAGTGGATTCAGTAGCCAAGTCCTCCCTTTTGAATTAATGGTACACTTGGCCCTCTGAATTATGCTATCATATAGCCAGTTTACTGAAACCTTTGGGGCCTATTCATAAAGGTATTATTAAGATGCTTTATCCTTAATCTGAGGGAACAGTCTTTTAACAAATCAAAATATGTTCTATGAACTGAAAAATTTATCTGGCCTGGGGGATGACACCTTTTGCTCTCTCTTTTTGCTGTTACATTAAGATTTTCTAAGGTTCTGTGCAATATTCTATCAATAGACTATACCTGATAATAGTATTGTTAATACTCCTTTGACTTTGTAACAGGAAAACAAATAATCTCACCCTTTTTTCTGTTGTTTTCACTTTTTTGGTGGTACTGTCAATTCTGGCTTCTGTGAAGTAAAAGAATATTCTGATATCAACTATGAAACCTTTTAAATCAAGACAAAATAAATCAAGAACTAAGATACATTGAGAGTATATAGGTTTACAACTATGTAAGGTATTATAAGAGTGCCTGCTGTTGAGACACAGCCTAGATATCCTGTCTCCAGTTGTCTGGTGCCTGCTACCAGACAGATCCCCTTGAACTTTGGATCTATCAGCCTGCTAAGGGAGTCTGAAAGTAAAAGAAAGTCTCAGCCACTGGGGTTTTAGAAAAGAACCAAAAGCCAGATGATAATATTTCTGAAAAATTTCACTTTCACAACAATCATTCAAAATTTCTTTGCCTTTTTGCTGCTGATGAGCATTACAACAATTTCTCTGAATCTCATATACATGCTTTTGATTCAGTTAACATGATGCTTTATTCTGCCATTTAGTAAAAGTGGCTGTTAGTTTTGTTGGTTGGTTGATTGTTTCTCTGTACACAACATTACCATGTGCCATGGCTGAAGATGGTCCACTATGATATGGTTAGACAAAATTGGATTGTAAAGCAACAATATAGGTACTTTTTCTGTCAATAACTGAATTTTGCTTTATTTGCATTTGCAAAGGAGATATTTTGTGCATTTAGTTTCTTGAAATTGCTGAAGGTCAGGTATAGTTTTTATTGGAATTTCTTATTTTAATAAATCAAATTTGCTCTAAGTTTTATGAATATCTGAACATTGAATAGGGACATAGAAGAAGGATCCCTGAACATCTCTCTCATTTTTTATTGTTTTTAGAGGCTTGGTTTATAACATTACTTTAGGTTTCTTCCATCTCTGAATCAATAGACTTTTGATACATAAGAATGAATATAGTTATTTTCTTGGAAAAACTTGTCATGGAATACATATTAATCTCTCAATAAGTATTAAATGTATGCAATTTGACATTTCCAGTTGAAAAAAGTAAGGGACTCATTTTATTAATAATTATTGCATCAGTTTAAAGTATCTATTTTTAACATAAATCACAGTAAAAATCCAACTAGTACAATTACAAAAGAGAAGGGACATATTTATGAATCCAGGGAACAAAGTTTGACACCCGTGTGTAAACACCAGGAAAATTTGGTCGTCCACATCCATGTCCCCAGCTAACAATGCCAGTCAAAATCCATCTTCCATCACTTTTTCTTCGACAAGCTAGAGGTCCACCTGAATCTCCCTACACAAAACAATAATGTAAGTAGAAAGTAAATTTGTCTTATGATCATCAGTTTCATCTTTATTGCATCTAATGAATTGTGTTCAAGCGTCCTGTTGTGACAGATTTTTGCTTGGCTGATCCCATTTGGGAAGTGTCAAAAATGAATGTGAAACTCCTATCATTTTAGAATTTTTCTGCCTATAATCAAATAGTTGTGTTTGTTAGAAAAAACATGATTCTTTAGGCCAAGAATAACATTAGAAACTTCTTATTGGAGAAAACAACTCTCACATACCCCTAAACAAGAATAAACCTAATAAAGGAGTGGTGGCGGTGGTGGTGACGGTGGTGGTGGTGGCGGCGGTGGTGACGGTGGTAGTGGTGGCGGTGGTGGTGATGGTGGTGGCCATGGTGGTGGTGGTGGCTGTGGTGGTGATGGTGGTGGCCGTGGTGGTGGTGGCGGTGGTGGCCATGGTGGTGGTGGCGGTGGTGGTGGTGGCGGTGGTGGTGGCGGTGGTGGTGATGGTGGTGGCAGTGGTGGTGATGGTGGTGGCCATGGTGGTGGTGATGGTGGTGGCTGTGGCGGTGGCGGTGGTGGTGGTGGT